ACCAATTTTACGATTCGTATCAAAATCGAACCTACGACGGATTACAGCATAGGGGTGATAAGCTCTGAAAATTTGACTGAAATCTATCCAGTAGTTTTTGAGTTAAGTCCGAAAAACGAAAACGGCTATTAGTGGTATTCATCTAAACCGATAACTTTATCAAGCAGATAATCTTATAAGTTTACGCACTCTGTTACATGAACGACCCACACTCTCTTTTCGTTTACACAAGCGACAATAGTCGTGTTTTCGTTGGTTATAGAGCTCAGTATTACTATCTTTATACTACTAGCACGGGGATAAAGAAATTATAGAAACTACCTCACTAAATTGGAAAACATTAAGGGTATTCATCAAACCTTATAAATGCATTGTAAACCGTATAAACTTATAATTGTTTAAACCTTATAAATGAACTGTCAAAATTTGAATGGAAACTCGTTTACACATTTCTGATAAATTTATTCAGCGATTTCACTGCATAAACTTGATAAACTGAAGACAATGCAACTCTGTCGCAACTCTAGCTATGTTTTCTTAGGCAATAATCAGGATCCGCATACAAATTTTGCACGCAAATTCAACAACGATATGATCCTGATAGAGATCTGGTTCAATTATTATCCCGTCTGTTTGTTTGTTTCACTGATAATTCGCAAAGTTTGGTAGCCGTGACAAATGAATTCATACACAAACAGACATTCTGCCATTGTTTCTTATAACTTGCTTCAAATATATAGCCTTTATGTTATATGTACATTTATTTAAATAGATATCTCGTAAATATAATTTTTTCCAATTTAGTGAGGTAGTTTCTATAATTTCTTTATCCCCGTGCTAGTAGTATAAAGTTAGTGACACTGCGCTTTATAACCAAAGAAAACACGACTATTGTCGAATGTGTAAATGAAAAGAGAGTGTGGGTCGTTCATGTAACAGAGTACATAAACTTATAAGATTATCTGCTTGATAAAGCTATCGGTTTAGATGAATACCACTATTATATTTACGAGATAATATCTATTTTAATAAATATACATATAACATACAGGCTATTTATTTGAAGCAAGTTAAAAGAAACTAAGGCAAAATTTCTGTTTGTGTATGAATTCATTTGTCACGGCTACCAAACTTTGCGCCAAATTATCAGTGACACAAAACAAACAGAATAATTGAACGAGATTGTTGAATTTGCGTGCAAAATTTTTATGGGCATCCCGATTATTGCCCAAGAAAACATAGCTAGAGTTGCGACAGAGTTGCATTGGCTTCAGTTTATCAAGTTGGTTCAGTGAAATCGCTGGAGAAATTTATCAGAAATGTGTAGTTTCCATACAAATTTTGACAGTTCATTTATAAGGCCCTGTCTCCACAGGAAAACACTGATGTCGTGAAAACTATGTCACAAAATATATTTCCAATGTAGACCGCCTATTTCTCATGTGCTGCAATATATGTCAGCGCTTATTGCTTGACATCTATTGCAGGCAATTCGATAGTTTGACAGCCATATTTTCATTTGAAAGAAAGCGTGCTGGTGGTAACATCGATGAAATTTTTATATTAAATCAAAATAAAAGTCTGTTCCTTATTGGATTATTTATGATTACGTTTTAGGAAATTATTCAGCAAGTTTTTTAAAGATTTATATGTTTTTAAACAACGAAATTGAGAGAATGTTGTCTGGTGGCGTCATGCGGCAAATGCTTATTTAAAGACATCAAAGTGCCCACACACAAAAACTTGCAATCACATTGCTCGTCAAAATGACAGTTGGTAGGCCATCGGTGTTTGCCTGTGGAGTTCTGCGGTAAGGTTTACACAATTATAAGTTTATACGGTTTACACATGATTCAATAATAGTTGCGTTCCTTATCTGCCAGAAATAGTCAGAAAAAGTCCGAAGTAGTCAGATTTAGTCCAAAAAGCATTCCTTAACTCGAAAATGACAGCAAAAATGAGAGAGCAACACTCTGTGAGAGTGACTCTCTTCAGTCCGAAGTAATCAGATTTAGTCAGAAGAATTTTTTCTGGCAAAATCGTGAAAAGTATCAAACTCCACTGAATTTAAATTAACGGAAATTAAAGAATACGCAAAAAGTGAGAATAATCTAAAAAGTAAAAAAAGTTAATTGAAATTTGAAGGAGGCTAAAAATAGTTGATATAGTAAGTGTTTATTGTGCTTGTGCTTGTGTGAATGTGTTTTGTACATACATTTCCATTCTTATTTGACGTTAGTTTGGTTGTTGCCATTCTTTGGAATAAAAATTTGGTTTTTTGCGTTCCTTTACTTTTCCTGTTATTCTCTTTTAGTGAGCGCATTTCGCTTACGCTCTGGCATTTTGACACTTTTCAGATTTTAGTCCAAAAAGATAAGGAATGAACCTAATAAAAGGTTTGCTCAAAAAGCAGTTTTCTCGCTCCCTCTTGACAAAATCGGCTCCCTTAGCAAGGCACTATATGTGGGTTCGTGTGTGTGTGCAAAGCTTTTGTAAGGGAGCTAAGGGAGTGTCAAAACTCTAATGTCAATAATGAGCAAACCTTTAATTTTTGAATGATGCGGTTTACAATGCATTTATAAGGTTTGATGAATACCCTTATATAGCATTTTCAGTTTAAATGAAGCTTTTTTCAAATTAAATGAAACCCTTTTCAGGTTAAGCGAAACCTTTTTCAAATCAATTGAAACCTTTTTCAGATGAAGCGAAACCTTTTTCAACTTAAATGAAACCTTTTTCGGATTCAAAGAAACTTTATTCAAATTAAATGAAACTTTTTTCAGATTCAATGAAACTTTATTCAAACCAAATGAAACTTTTTTCAAACTAAATGAAACTTTATTCAAATTAAGTATTAAACATTTTTAAATTAAGGAACAGGAAATCAGGCATACTTGGCATTGCTAAAGAGTTGCCACATAAGGAATCTTTTAAATGAGCTTCGCGTGTAAACTGTTACCCAACGCACAGCATTACATACGTAGAAGTCTGTTGGTTTTTTATTTCTACGTAAAAACACCTACGTAACAGAGCC